TTAACATCTTTTGCTGGCTTTCGACTACAAATGGAATAAACTATCTTCGTTCTTGCCCATAAACTTGCATCTTCATAATGAGGGTGATTCACAATATATCTAATACACTACCAGTACATTTTACTGTTAGTATTATATACTGTAATATATAAAATAAAATAAATTATTATCATTTTATTATTCTTTTTATGACCATTGTCATTATTATTGTCATTATTACGAGGGCTGAATGAAAAGTAATGCCTCCACCTTCGTAACTCCTCAACAGATTGCGGTACTGGTATGCGTCAGGTACTAGCTTGTTCAGTAGACTCTCCTCTACAGTTCCATTTTGGCGGGAAGCCTTAGCATTGAACAATTGTGTTGTTAAAGTGCGAAGTATGGAACCCTTCGCAGACAGTCGGTCAGTGCAACTTAAGCAACATGCAGTCATTGAATTCTTGACAGCAGAAGGTGTCATACCAAAGGAGATTCATCAGCGAATGCAAGCTGTTTATGGTGATTGTGTTGGTGTGAGTACTGTGCATCGTTGGGCGAGTAAGTTTAAGTTGAGGTGGGAACATCTGACTTGCGTGACAAGAGTTGGACGTCTTGTGACAGCAACCACTGAGTTTCACAAGCAAAAGGTTGACAGATTGATTCAGGACGATTGTTGTATCACTCAGAGAGAAATTTCAAGCATAATCAGCATTTCACAAGAACGTGTGGGTCACATTATTGCTTTGCTTAGCTATCGGAAGATCTGTGCATGATGAGTACCCAGGGTGAGAGAACTGTGAGACGCTGGTTGCGGAAACAGAATGTTGACTTCTTCCATGACAGCTTCAGAAAACTTGTTCATTGTGGCAGAAATGTATCCAATTGTGTGGTGATTATGTGGAAAAGTGAATAGTGGTAGTTAAAGAGCACATTCTAAGGATTATTTCTGAGTTTGATTTATTCAAATATTCCCATCCAAACGCAAGTAACGAAGATGGAGGCATTACTTTTCATTCAACCCTCGTATAATTATCATTCTTATTATCACTGTTATCATTGTCATTATCATTGTTATCATCCTTATTTCAATTGTTATTGTCATAGAATCATAGTTAGAAGAGACCTTGTGGGCTATCCAGTCCAACCCCATTCTGCCAAGAAGCAGGACAATTGCATTCAAGGCATCCCTGACAGATAGCCATCCAGCCTCTGTTTAAAAGCCTCCAAAGAAGGAGCCTCCACCAAACTCTGGGGCCATGAGTTCCACTGCTGAACAGATCTCCCAGTTTAGAAGTTCTTCCTAATGTTCCGGTGGAATCTCCTTTCCTGTAGTTTGAAGCCATGGCTCCATTGCGTCGTAGTCTCCAGGGCAGCAGAAAACAAGCCTGCTCCCTTCTCCCTATGACTTCTCTCACATCTTTATCCATGACCCTCATTATGTATCCTCTCAGCCTTCTCTTCTGCAGGCTAAATATGCCCAACTCTTTAAACCGCTCCTCATAGGGCTTTTTTTCCCCAGACCATTGATCCTTTTAGTCGCCCTTCCCTGGACACATTCCAGCTTGTCAACATCTCCCTTAAATTGTGGTGCCCAGAATTGCACACAGTGTGATTCCAGGTGTAGTCTGACCAAGGCAAAATAGAAAAGAGAGGTAGCATGACTTCCCTGGATCTAGGCACAAGACTCCTATTTATGCAGGCCAAAATCCCATTGGCTTTTTTAGCTGCCGCGTGACACTTTTGCCTCATGTTCACCTTCCTGTCCGTGAGGACTCCAAGATCTTTTTCATACATCCTGTTGTCGAGTCAGGCATCGTCCTCCATTCTGAATCTTTTCATCATCATTATCATCATATAACAGTTACAATAAATAAAGAACTATTATCATTTTATGATGATTATGATTATTGTCACTGTTATCATCATTCCTATTATTATCATTGTTATTCTTACTGTTATCATTGTCGTCATCATTTTTATTATCATTGTTATTATTGTTGCCATTATCATTATTATCATCATTATTATATTTTTATTTTGATGATCATTATTATAATTGTGTTGTCGAAGACTTTCATGGCCAAAATCACTGGGTTGCTGTGAGTGTTTCTGGCTGTATGGCCATGTTCCAGAAGCATTCTCTCCTGATATTTCGCCCACATCTAGTTCTCTTGGAAACTTGGCAAATGAGGTTTATATATGTATCTGTGGAATGATGTCCAGGGTGGGAGAAAGAACTCTTGTCTGTTGGAGGCAAGTGTGATTGTTGACATTGGCCACTTTTATTAGCAATGAATACCCTTGCAAAAAGAATCTGCAAAGCTCACCTCCTCCAAGGTGAACAGAACCCTCTAAACTGGGCTCTACAGGGCAATGAAGCCTCCATCACAGACATCAGAAGAGCTGCAAGACCAAGAACAAGCCACAAGAGTAAAGACAAAGATCCACCCAGAGGAAAAGTGTTCTTACCATACATCAAGGGAACCATGGACCTCATAGGGAAACTGATGAAGAAACACAACCTACAAACAATCTACAGATCCACTTTTTTTTTTTTTGGTCGTGTCAGGAGCAACCGCTCCTGTTGTGAGAGAATTGGCCATCTACAAGGACGTTGCCCAGGGGACAGATCCACTAAGAACATCCAACAAATGCTACATTCAGCAAAGGGCAAGAGGGACCCTCTCACCTCTGCAGGAGTCTACTGTATACCATGCAGCTGTGGAGAAGTCTCCATAGGGACCCTCAAACGCCCAGACATGAATCAAGGAACATGAAAGACGCTGCAGATTGATTCAGCTATAAAAGTCAGCCAGCAGATCACTTGATGAACCAACCTGGACACGGCATATTATTTGAGAAGACTGAAATGCTGGACCACTATAACAACCACCATGTCAGAAGACACAGGGAAGCCATTGAAATCCAAAAGCATGTGGACAATTTCAACAGACAGGAGGAAACCATAAAAATGAACAAAATATGACAACCAGTATTTTAAAAAAGCCTCTAAAATCAGGACAGTAAATAAAGAGCAACACTCAAAAAACAGGGGAAAGCCTGACATGAAGCAATCAGGGCCAGCTAACAGCTCTGAACAAAGGATCCTCCCCGGAAGGAAGCAGCCAGGCTTGGCAGCTGTAAGGCCATTTCATGTGAATCAAGGTGGCCAATTGCAACATTCACACTTGCCTCAAGCAGACAAGAGTTGGTTCTCCCCACCCGGGATAAACCCCACTTGCCTAGTTTCCAACAGACCTCAAAACCTCTGAGGATGCCTGCCATAGATGCAGACAAAATGTCAGGAGAGAATGCTTCTGGAACATGGCCAGACAGCCCAGAAAGCCCACAGCAATCCAGTGATTCCGACCATGAAAGTCTTTAACAACAGTTCTGTCAAAGTCCTCCACATAGGCCATACTGCCCACCACCCAAGTGAAGACTTTTATATGGGGACAATTCCACCCTAGATTTTCTGATTTTTTTTCTCCACCACAGACATCCCAGTGTTTCTGACTCTCTCCATTTGTGTGGAATTTGCATAACCCCGCCCACTGCCTCTCCCTTAACTCTCCTACTTTTTTCTGCGGGGCACAGCAAAGAGAGGAATTGATCAGCAACTGAACATACTAGAGAGGTTTGGGGAGAATTCAGCATGATTTATAGGAGGTGTAGGTACTGGGATGTATAGATCACCTGCAATCTAAGAGCACTCTGAACTCCACCAATGATGGACCTGGAATTAACTTGGCACGCAGAACCCCCATGACTAACAATACTTACTGGAGGTCTTTGGAGGGATTTATAGGAGTTGTAGTTCACCTATATCCAGAGCGCACTATGAACCTAAACAACGATGGATCTGGACCAAACTTGGCATGCTTACCTTATATGCCCAAATTTGAATATTGGTGGGTTTTGAGGGGAATTGGATTGGACATTTTGGAGTTGTGGTTACTGGGATTTATAATTCACCTACAAGCAATGAGCATTCTGAACTCCACCAAAGATGGACATGGACAAAACTTGGCACACAGAGCCCCCATGACCAGCAAAAAATACTGGAAGTCTTTGGGGAAAAATTACCTTGATTTGGGAGCGTTGTAGTTCACCTACATCCAGAGAGCACTGTGAACCCAAACACCAATGGATCTGGACCAAACTTGGCACACATTCCTGACATGCCAAAATTTGATTACTGGTTTGGGGGGAACTGACCTTTCTTTCTGGTAGTTGTAGTTCATCCACAACCAGAGAAACGATGACCTCCACTGATGATGGACCTGGACCACACTTGGCACACAAACCCCCATGACTAACTCGACCTACTGGAGGAGGTTGTAGGAACTGACTCACCATAGTAGGAGTTGTAGTTTCCCCTATAGCCAGATAGCACACTGAATTCCATCGATGTTGCACATTTTTATTATTATTATTATTATTATTATTATTATTATTATTATTATTATATTTACTCCACTCCCACCTTCCACCTCTTTATACAATAAACTACAAAAATGATATTTGAAATATCAGCCTTAGTCTCAGTTTTTCCACTCCACATCTTAATACATTCTCTGAATAATTCTGAACTGGATCCCACATGTTCTTATTTATTTTCTATTTTGTCTATATTGTTCAATTTACAATTTGTTGTTTCCACATATTATTGATTGTTCATCTATAGCAAACTTGCCCAACATAACAGACTTTAAATACGGATGGAGTTTTTTGGGGCTGACCTGGCATGATGTGAGTTGTAGTTCACCTACAACCTTATGCATTTTGTACTATTAAAAAATTGACTTTTTCAAATAATGCGGGCAATGCCAGGGACTCAAGCTAGTAATATAATATAAGAGGTGGAATGATTATAATATATAATGGAAGAGGTGGGATGATGATGTATAGTATAGTATATTGGAAGAGATGGGACAATGATAATAGTAATAGCAATAATAATAATAATAATAATAATAATAATAATAATAATAATAATAATTCTGTCCTCCCCTTGCCAGGACTGTGCACCCTGCGGGATGCCCAAGAAGTTCCAAGGAGAGAACACAAAGTCGGCAGCCGCCCGGGCCAGAAAGGCGGAAGCCAAAGCAGCGGCCGATGCCAAGAAGCAGAAGGAGCTAGAGGATGCCTTTTGGAAGGATGAGGACAAACACGTTATGCGGAAAGAGCAGCGGAAGGTGAGTGATTCTGGTCTCAGAAGGAGAGGCTTCCCACTCTGTATAGAATAGAATAGAATAGCTTTATTGTAATTTTGCTATTGCACAACAAATGCCTTCCCTAGTACACACCACAGAACAACACACCCATCTCTCTGCACCACAGCCATGGAGTTCAACGTGTCCACAGCTCTAGGATAAAAGCTGTCTCCCAGTCTCCTTGTCCTTGCCTTTGTCACCCTGTACCATCTGCTAGGTGGCAACCTTTCAAAAAAGAAATATGCCAGGTGAGATGGATCCCCAAGAATGCTCTGAGCTTTCTTAAGGCTGCGGGACCTATGCAGTTCTTCCAAAAAGGGGAGAAAGAAGGCAGCCCATGATTCTCTGTGCAGAAGTGGTGACCCTTTGGAGCACCTTCCTCTCTGCAATTATGTGCAGGTACCAAACCAGGTGCAGGTGCAGTAAGCCAGGACACTCTCTAGAGCGCAGCAGGAGAAAGTCACCAACAGTTTTCCATTCAGTTGTTGGTTCCTTAGAAGTCTGTCTATCTATCTATCTATCTATCTACTAATCCATCTATCTCTTGACCTTTCTTTCTATCCATCCTTCTATCTACCTATCAACCGACATACCTATCTATCCATGCATCTATTTATCTATCTTTCTGTCCATCCATGTATCTATCTATCTATCTATCTATCTATCTATCTATCTATCTATCTATCAGCCTATCTATCTACTAATCCATCAATTTATCCATCCATCTATCTATCAGCCTATCTGTCTGTCTGTCTGTCTGTCTGTCTGTCTGTCTACTAATCCATCCATCTACCTATCAATCTATCTGTTGAGCTGCCTGCCTGCCTGCCCAGCCATCCATCCATCCATCCATCTATTCATCCATCCATCTATTCATCCATCTACCTATCGATCTATCTATTGAGCTTTCTGTCTATCTTTCTGTTACATCTGTCTATGGTGGAATGGGGGTGCAATAATATGTGTACAAAGTGTAAAGCAGAGGACTAAAACACACAGCTCTGTGGCATCCCAGTGTTGAGAGGGAGAGCCGAAGAGGTATATACACATATCTCTATGTGCTAGAATTATGGGACCTTGGAAATGCAAGGGCCAGCTCTCTCGGCTCATCAGTAACCCTACTTCCTCCTTTTCCTCCTTGCCTTTTTCTCAATCCTAGAGTTGGCAGCTCACAATGACATGAGACAATACAAGGCATATGACTAAAATTAAAAAGCAATTAAACTGTGTAACAGAACTTGGCAGAAGGGCCGGATGCCCCTTAGGGACCCCTTCCAACCCTATGATTATCTAAGTATGGTAGCAGAATGAGCTCTATTGATTACATTCTGCTTTTCCTCTCCTAATGAAGCAGGTACCAAACCAGGTGCAGGGTGAAGATATTGTGTGAGAAAGAGCAATCAAATTCCTCTCTACAAAACTCAAAACATTACCTGACAGATTAGAGAGATGGGCCAAAACTAACAAAATGAAGTTCAACAGTGACAAATGCAAGATACTCCACTTTGGCAGGAAAAACGAAATGCAAAGATACAGAATGGGGGATGCCTGGCTCGAGAACAGTACGTGTGAAAAAGATCTTGGAGTCCTCGTGGACAACAAGTTAAACATGAGCCAACAATGTGATGTGGCGGCAAAAAAAGCCAATGGGATTTTGGCCTGCATCAATAGGAGCATAGTGTCTAGATCTAGGGAAGTCATGCTACCCCTCTATTCCGCTTTGGTTAGACCACACCTGGAATATTGTGTCCAATTCTGGGCACCACAATTCAAGAGAGATATTGACAAGCTGGAATGTGTCCAGAGGAGGGCGACTGAAATGATCAAGGGTCTGGAGAACAAGCCCTATGAGGAGCGGCTTAGGGAACTGGGCATGTTTAGCCTGAAGAAGAGAAGGCTGAGAGGAGATATGATAGCTATGTATAAATATGTGAGAGGAAGCCACAGGGAGGAGGGAGCAAGCTTGTTTTCTGCTTCCCTGGAGACTAGGACGCGGAACAATGGCTTCAAACTACTAACTGACTAGAAGAGGGCAGCAAGCCCCTTCTGTAATATGGCCTCAGGTGGGCTGCTGTGTTTTGGATTTTGGAATTGGATGCTCATAATAATAATAGTAGTAATAATAGATATCTGTGTATCTCATTATATGGCAGCCTTAAATCAGGATCATGACGACTAGAATTCTTATTTTATTTTTAGAATATTATACATATTATGTATACGAAATATATTAGTATAACTATAGCTCAGTGATAGAGCCTTGAGGTGTTTTGTTTCTGGGAGAATAGCTCCAGATTGTACACAGGGGCAAAAACCACCAGATAATAATAATAGGATATATATTTATTTATTTATTTATTTATTTATTTATTTATTTATTTATAGTGGTTATATTCCACCCTTCTCATCCTGAAGGGGACTCAGGGTGGATCACAGAACATATATACAGCAAATGTTAAATGCCGTTGTACAGTGACAAGAAAGACAACTGTAAGTAGATAGAGGTATGAATAGGCTTTCCCCATCTTCAGCATCTTGGAGGCTTGTGCTCGGTTCCAGCCATGGGGCGGTGCTATCGCTCCACTTTTCCCTGCCAAAGAGCTTGTTCATAAACTTCCTCCTTGATTGACTCGCCGGCATTTTTCTGGCATTTCCATATAGGTGCCTTAAATACCTCCCTGCTTTAAAGTAATCCCTATTTATCTACTCACTTTTGCTTTCAAACTGCTAGGTAAGCAGAAGCTGGTCTGAAGGCCAGGAGCTCACCCTGACCCGGGCTATGAACTGACAACCATTCGATTGGCAAGATTTGTTGCAGCTGGCAGTTAACCTGCTGTTCTATGGCCCGGCCCAATTTTTCAGTTTGCCACCTCATTTCCCAAAATGATGATGATGACAACAACAACAACAACCATAATAATAACTCTGATTGGTTTTTCCAGCTGGCCCCATCATTTCCCAATATGATAATGATAATAATAATAATAGGTTTTTAAAACTGGCCCCAACATTTCCCAAAATGGTGATGATGATGATGACAATAATAATAATAATAATAATAATAATAATAATAATAATAATAATAATTCTGATTTTTTTTCCCAGCTGGCACCAACATTTCCCAAGATATTTGTTTAATTATTTATGGTGTCAGAAACAAATTGAAAATACAGTTATAACGTATTTAAAAACACAAACAAAGTTTAAAAACTTGACATTATGCTAAATGTCCTGTGACTAGAAGCTGGCCACTTGGAGTTCTTTTGGTGTCGCTGTGAGAAGGTCCTCCATTCTGCCTGTGGCAGGGCTCAGATTGTATTGTAGTTGGTAGTCTGTGGTTTACTCTTCTCCGCACTCACATGTCATGAACTCCACTTTGCAGCCCCATTTCTTAAGGTGGGTTCTGTATCTCGCGGTGCCAGAACGCAGCCTGTTCGGCGCCTTCCAGGTCACCCAGTCTTCTGTTTGCCCAGAGGGGAATTTTCTCATCCGTTATCAGCCACTGACTGAGGTTCCGGGTTTTTGCCTGCCACTTTTAGACTCTTCCTTGCTGAGGTGTTCCCGCGAGTATCTTTGTGGCTCTTAGCAAGCTGTTTCTTGATTTAAGGCATTGGCTTGCTAGTTGATATCCAAACAGAGGATGGGCCAGAGATGTCCATGCCTTGGTCCTTTCATTGCTATCTGTCTGTCTGCCTATCTGTCTATTTACCTTTCTTTCTATCCATCCATCAATTTATCAACCCACCTACCTACCTTCCTACTAATCCATCCATCTAGCGATCTATTTATTGACCTTTCTGTCTGTCTGTCTATCTATCTGTCCCTCCCTTCATCCATATTTCTATCTGTCTATTTATCCATCCATCCATCCATCTCTCTACCATTCTACCAGTCTATCCATCCATCCATTCATCCATCTTTCTACCATTCTATCTATCTGTTTATTTATTTATCAGTCCATCGTGCTATCTATCTATTCATCCATGCATCTTTCTACCATTCTATCTATCAATTAATCCATCTATCTATCTGTCTATCTCTTATGGTTTGGACTGGATGGCCTTTGGGGATTCCTTAGAAGTCTCAGACAGTACAGCCTCTGCTGGGCCCTCTTCCCCAGCGCTGCCTTATGAATGTCCCAGGTTAGATCCTCCTTAACAGTGACACCCAGGAAGTAGGGTTGCTGATGAGCTGAGAGAGCTGGCCCTTGTATTTCCAAGGTTCCATAATTCTGACACATACAGATGTGTGTATATACCTTTTTGCCTCTCCCTCTCAACACTGGGATGCCACAGAGCTATGTGTTTTAGTGCTCTGCTTTACACTTTGTACACATATTATTGCACACCCATCCACCATAGAAATATCATTCCCAAAATTGCAGACGACAAAACCATGGTAAGGCTTCTTATCTCTGAAGAGGATGAGCCTGTCTATCTGGAGGAAGTGGAGTGACTGCTCTCGTGGGGCAAGGACAATCATCTGGTTCTTAATATCAATAAGACCAAGGAGCTCACAGTGAACAGACCTTGGTCATAAATGGCAGACAGTTTTAAGTTCCTCCTCCTCTTCCTTGCCTTTTTCTCAATCCTAGAGTTGGCAGCTCACAATGACATGAGACAATACAAGGCAAACACATACACATATGACTAAAATTAAAAAGCAATCACACTATGTATCAGAACTTGGCAGAATGGCCTGGATGACCCTTAGGGACCCCTTCCAACCCTATGATTCTCTAAGTATGGTAGCAGCTCTAAGAGGACCAAATACTGAAAGCACAATAATCCTAAATAAACAGCTCAGGGGAAGATCTCAGGGGCTCACATGTCTTTACACTAATGCACAGAGCATGGGAAATAAACAAGATGAACTCCAACTTTTAGCACAACACCACAAATATGATGTCATAGATATCACTGAAACCTGGTGGGATGACTCCTATAGCTGGAATATAGACATGGAGGGCTATAACCTCTTTC